CATCGTTCGATTTCACCAAGTTCAATTCGTTGTCCATGTAGTTTGATTTGATGATCTTTTCTTCCTTGATAACGAAGAAGACCATTGTTATCCAATTTAACAAGATCACCTGTTCGATAAAATAGTTGACCATCTATTTCAACAAGAGCTTTTGCAGTTAAATCATCTCGTCCAAGATAACCAGCAAACACACTCACTCCTCCTATACATAGTTCACCTTCTTTGTCGGTAACAGATGATTGTAAATATTGATTGATAATCATGCATCGATAATTAGAAAGTGGTTTACCAATTGAAACGCTTCGTGTATCCTCTGTTAGATCTACTTTGTGGAAGGTAGAAACTATAGTTGTTTCAGCTGGACCGTATAAATTCCACACATGACAGTTGGTTATACCAATTTTCACAATCAAGTCGATCAAATGAACAGCAAAAGCTTCACCTACAATAGCAGAAACATAGTGTGACGAAAGAATGAGAATTGTTTCTGATTACTCACCGATGCTACAAAGTGAACGAAGATGTTTCACGGCATTTATATTCTTGTTCTGCACGATAAAAATGAAAAAACTATGTAGAAAATTTGGAACAGTATGCAGATACGTGATCTGTTTGTTCTGTAACACTTTAGATAGATAATCGAAATCAATAGTTCCACCTGGATGAAGTATAATCAATGTGCCTCCAACTAACAATGTACCAAGTATCTCTTGAACATGGATATCAAATGAACATCGCGTCATTTGTACAACTGTATCGTCTTTATTAAATGAGTTTATATAAGCCAAAGAATGTATACAATCAATAAAGTTCTTATGTCGAACTTGAACCTATCAAATAGCATGAAAATAAATCAGCTATTCGAAAATTCCTTTTCAACGAACCGCTTTAGGTGTTCCAGTTGAACCACTAGTGAAAATAATGTATGCTATCTCTTCACCTTTCACTATCACACTTGAAAGGCAATTATAATTCCTATCATTATCCATATTATTAATATTTAATACTGAATCAATATCAAGTGAAACAATATGATCATCAAATTTATTCTTAGTTAAATGATGAACAAGAACAAGACGACTTTGAGTTTGTTGTGTAAGTGCATGTAAACGATGTTGTGGATCTCGAGGTGATAATGGACA